TTCCTTTCCAATAAATACTGTTTACAGTTATGAAAGGTGATTGTGAAATGAATTTTTGGAATTACTTGGAAAACTCACAGATGGAAGCCAGTCTGGAGAATTGTTTTGTTTTTCTTAATCTAACCCCCTCTGATTTCAAGCTATTTCCTAGACTGCCAGTGCTGGTATGAGCTGCTTTCTGACAAAAGCCTGAGAAGGAGGTTACATTAGATGATATAAATAGCACATTATGCAGGTAGCTGACTCCCAAAGGTTTTTGTGTCCCAATCAAGATGATTGTTTCTTTCTCATTTATCTCAAGGGGTTTTTCTTTCCTTTCTTAGAAGAGGAGGCCAAGATGATTGTGGAAAGGTATTACTGGATATAGCTTTACACATATAGAATTGAACAAAATAGTTCAGTTATAAGACAAACAAAATTTGTGCCTGTAGTTCTAACATATGTTTTCAGTTCTTCTATAAAAGCAGATGGTATGCAGATACCTTACTGTTTCCTGTCAAAAAGAAGTGCTTTTGTTGAAAGCAGTATAATATAACTCGAAGAAGTTAAATCTATTTTGGTTTGCAAGTTAGAGATACCTTAGTATATTTTATATTGCTTAATATTTCTTCTGATGCTGTCCTAGGAAATGGAGATTTATTTTCTAAGGCAGTCATATACTAATTCAGTTTTCTACCTTTCATTCACCTACCTACCCACTGAAAGTTTCTGAAACTCAAATTTCCAATCGAAAAGCACTCTTGATAAGAAGAACCATCTCTTGGTTAGTTTTAATTCATATTGTAGAGAACAACATCCTTAACCTAACATCCTGAAGATGCATAGAAGGATAACTCCATCATTGCAGTCAACATAGTAACATGCTGACTGAATATGCCATGGGAATTGTAGCTCCACCTGAAAAATCCCAAGTTTTGAAAGGCTGCCATAAAACATAACCCTTGAGGGGGCTAAACTAAAATTAAGTGGATATGCTACCCACCTATGACTGCAGATAATGGATTTATACTTTAAGCCATTAGCAAGGGTTCAATTGGGAAAACTGAAATGTAGAATTCATGAGCATATATGTGTGTGTACTCAGAGAAATTCATGGTTTGCTTCTGGTATTCTGTTCATATTGTGACTCTGGTAGACATCAAGGTGGTTGACTCCAAGGACTTCTCCTAGCACTTTAAGTTTCAAAATGACTTCAACTTGAGGGAAATTATTTCTAGAACATATTCTAGGAAGTTGCTTAGTCCTTGTTTCTCTTTTCTACCTATTGTCTTGAATATTGATCTAAGTTTGGTGGCCTGAGTGATTTTTATTCTAGATTTTAACTTTACATATTAACTTTTTCTCTCTCATTTTTATTTGTTCCTCTGAAACTTCACCTATTTTATGAGTACCTGCAGAAGAATCCCAGGCACTCAGAACCCGATAATCTAAATCACATTCTTGTTGGTACCTAATCTAAGTATTGTCCCTACATTAGTACTGGGTCTTAGATTTCTATCTTATGGATTTTTTTTTGTTGACTCTGAAGAAAGGAGAGATGTCTCAAGATGAACAGTTGCTGCATGGTTAGCGTTGATTTATAATTCATAGCTTATCTTCAGAAGTCAGAAACACCTCATTGGATCAAGTGAAGCTGCTTCATAATAGCTGGCTTCACAATTTACACTAATTAGTAAACCATAGTTAAGTGATTTCATTACGGTAACTGACTGGCAGGTGAAGAAATCAACCGTTTCACATAGTTTCTCCTCAACACTATTTTGGTGGGAAAGATTAAAAATGATCAATCAGTTAAGTTTTTAGCAATGGGTAAAATTGGGATCATTGCACTTGGAATATCAATATCAATGCAAGTTTTGATAGCTTAATTTAAATAAAGCTTTGGTAAGAGAATCACGCTCTTCTCTCCAGAAAGTGGTAAAAAACCATGGCTTTTGCCTGTCATTAGTTATCGGCTCCTTCTCATTTTTAACAGTTTCTGTTCCATCTAATAAAAGATAACAATATTATTAGAACTACCATATTGAGGCTACAAACATCCAGATTATTACTATATAGCAACCAAGAGAAATGGAAAACTCTTTGCTTCTATCTAGTGGTCATCTAGTGGTAGTTTTGCAGACAAATTGCAACACTCTAAATACTAATAACTTTACAGCAATTACTAGTTTTACCTGTGGTTTTTTGGGGGTACGATATTCCTTTTTCCTGTTGGATTGGAAGGTTGTGAGCAGGTGAAGTTTTATTTTTTATCAATTTTTATGTATCCTACTGCAAGACCCACTCTTTTTGTAATGAATAAATAAATGAGGTGTTTATTTAAATTGATGTCATAATCCAAGTCATGTCATTTTTCAAATTGGTCTCATACTAAGCCAATAATATAGATGGTTTGAAGTTTTATACAGGTAGTCCTTGACCTACGACCCCAATTGAGTGCAAAATTTCTGTTGCTAAGTGAAACAGTTGTTAAGTGAATTTTGCCCCATTTTACAACATTTCGTGCCACAGTTGTTAAGTGAATTGGTGTAGTTGTTAAGTTAGTAACATGGTTGTTAAATGACTCTGGCTTCCCCAGTGACTGCTTGTCAGAAGGCCACAAAAGATGATCACATGACCCAAGGACAACTGGCTCATCATAAATATGAGCCAGTTGCCAATCATCTGAATTTTGACCATGGGGATGCTGCAATAGTTATAAGTGTGAAAAATGCTCATAACTCATTTTTTTCAGTGCCGTTGTAACTTCCAGCAGTCACTAAATGAATTGTTATAAATTGAGGACTACCTGTATTATTTTCAAGCTAGCCATCATGGATTAGTCAACAAATCATGGTTAATAATGGGTGAATCTGCTTAAAATTGAGTTCTATAAGTTCTAACAAAATTAACTCCTGATTAAGGATATATAGAGTAACTATTAAAGGTAGCCAAACTGCAATACTTCCGCAGCATATCAATATCAAACGTACGGGATTTGATTTTGTGTGAAAACGAATCATTTTAAAGTCTGTGCATTTGATTTTTTAAATCACATTTTTTCTTAATTTTTGGCTTAGAATTTACATATATTATTTCACATATCCTGTCTTTCTACTTGGAGTTCAAGGCGGCACACATATTAGCCTCCTCTATTATAATCCTTGAAGCAATCTTGTGAAGTAAATTATGCTGCAAAATAATAAGTGACCTCCATTCCTTTGTTATGTATAATCACATATTCAGATTTTTTTCAATCATTGTAAAGTGTTTCTTTAGAAAACAGCGAAGCATATGAAAACCTGCATGGTTTCTTTATGCTGCAACCATGTCACCCATTTCTTAGCAGCAGGCACAATACTGTATAATAGACGTGTATAAGATGGCACTTTTAGTGATTGAGGAAACAACATATTTATGGGGAGGCCGAAATAACTCAAATAACTGTGATCAACAGCCCATCCTGGATGATGATGTTTTCCTTTCAAAGACTTTAGGTGGTAAGCTTATACTTGCTTGCAGACATTCGCCCAGCCTGGAACAATTATTAATCCATAACAGATCACATCCAAGACATGGGACTCAAATCCTGTTTCAGATCTAGATGCCAGCTCCCTCATCTCTTCTGGCAGTTTTATCATCAAACCCAAGAACACTCCCACATCAGGGAATAGTCACTTACTCTTCCTTCAGGATGATATATGCAGAAATGGGAACATTCAAAGGCCAAAAGGAAAGCTCCTCTGAACATGCTATCACTAATAGAGCAGAGGAATGAGAAAGATCAATTTAGATTACAAAACTGTTGATTTACAATTTGTGAGGATATTTAGCACCATTTCTTACAGATTAAACGGCAGTCTTTAATCACACAGTTAACCAGCTCATTAATACAAGGATGTTTGTGTCACACCTAACTACAGTATCTCATTGTTAACAGCCATGGTCTATTTTGTCTCTCACTTCTCTTTCCAACATTCCCCTTCCTTTCATTCTATTCCCCTACCCCACCCCAGCAGCTCTTGTTTGAGTATATTTGTGTATTTTTGGCTGTCTGTGTCTATAATGCTGCTTTCTTAGGACTCAGTGCAGTGATCTGCAAAACCTTAAGGAGTAATAAATGTATTAATTGCTGTAGTACCACAAGCTTTTTTTGCTGCAAAAAATTAACAGGTTAACCAGTCAATATCTCTTTGAAGCTTTGTTGTAAAGCATTTATTCACTTGGAGGCTTGAAAGCTTTATCCTTTCAATGGCACGGACATAAAATGGAGAGGAACCATTGTTAAGAAAAAGAAACATACAAAATCAATAAAATTGCTTAAAAAATACATGAATCGAAATGTTTGTGAGCAATAATTCTTGAGTCTAGTGACTGTCTATGTAAAATAAGTCATCAGAACCTTTTTTTGATTGTATTAAGATGTTGGGTACTTGCTGAATGATCTGAGGTTCTTGGAAAAGCTTATTTGGAGGAATGGCTCCAATGGTACCTGTACTTTAAAAATCAGTAATTGCTTGTGATGTCTTGTATCTTGTATTCAGTGCTTAAGATAATTGTTCAGAATTTCATCAGGAAAAATATCGGGTCATTATGGCTGTCCAGAACACAGAGAAATTCTGCTTCCTGGATTCTGATATTTTTTTAATTGAATAAACCTGTGGTGCACCAACTTGAATCTGACAGGTAGACCCTATGGGACATAAGTATTCACTCAAATTACCAGCTCTATGCTAGGTTGACCTTTAGCTTAGGTCATAACTAGCACCTTGAATCACTCCTGGAAGTAAACCGGCAACTAATCTCGATTTGTTAACATCATATTTAAAAATCTGTTTGAAAGATGTTATGCATATTTTGAATAGCAATGTAAGAATTAATTTGCTTGCTCCATAGTAATTCATTCCTCATTGGTTTATTACTTCAGTCCAGCAATATAATACCCAGGATATTAGTAACACTTTAAGGTCTCAAATGTCTCTATGTTCTTGTTTATAGAAGTTTTTTCTTTCCTCCACTAGCTTTGAAATATGCAAGGCATTTTAGCAGCAGTGCCCAGAATTACACCACCTTCTTGCTGGAAGAGGAGAAGGGAATTCTGTATGTGGGAGCCAGGGGGGCAATCTTCTCCTTAAGTGCCAATAACATCTCTGATACCACTGATGGCTCCTATCAGAAAGTAAGTCTTTATCTTATCTTTATCTGCTGTCTTTTCCCTTGGTAAATATACGTTGTGTGTATGTGTGTGTGTAGTTTTTTTTTTTTTAAATAATTATTAAAGATTTTCATGTAAGTAAAAGATAAACATGATTTTATATAGAGTGAAATTAAAACAGAATTAAAATAAATAAGCAGAAAAGGCAATACAGGTAGGAAAAAGAAAAGATTTAAAGAGGTGGCTTCCAATATTCTTTATGGCATTTGCAAATAAATTCATTCTATCTCCTCCCTCTTTAAAGTTCTCTTCTTCCCATAGTCAACTCTTTTTAATCAGCAAATCCATAAATCATCAATTGTTTGTCATGCATGATAAAATGTCCTTTCATATTTTTTCCCGCATTGATTACCTTTAGACATTTTTGATGTTGTCTTTGGAGTCGTATATCAATGACAGATCATTTTATAAAAGTTATTTTTTAAGTTGCAACACAATTTGAATTTTAGTCCTTTTTATCTACATTTCCTCCCATTGGCCTATATCTGTATGTTATAACCAAAGTTCTTAGCCCATTTTACCATGCACTCTTTAACTTGGTCATCTTCTATTTCAAATCTTAGCAAATTTTAGCAATAAGATATTCATCATTTGTACATAATTCAATTTCAAATTATTATGTAGTTCAATACCAATTAGCCTGTTATCTATATTAAATCTGTCTCTGAATTGTGAGCATGGAAACCATTGAAAATTAAACCCCTGTAGGTAAGTTGTTTTCCTTTATTTCATGTTAAGTTTTGCATTTTTCAGTACTAACAAATCCTGATGAGTTAACCATCCACTTTTGCCTGTTTTTTTTCTATAAAATGTTTCTTATGCTGAAGCCAATTCTGTAAAGGTATTTTCAGCACAGCTAGGGATTATATCTATTTCGTATCTTAATATTGAAACCTACATTAATTTTAATTATCATACCATAGAAAGCCATGCCACCGAAGTCTCAGGTTGTGTTCTTCAAATTCTAATATTTTCTTATTTCTAAACAGCACCCACTCTTCATCCAAACCAGATAGCAGACTAAAAACTACTATTTAAAATCATGTAGCCCTAATCCTTTTTCCTTTAAATAAAGTATTTTATTTAAATATAAAATATTTTATATTTAAACCTTGGTTTCTTCCCCATCATATGAATCTAGATGTATTTTTTGCAATTGTTTATAAGGTGCATCATTTGTCATAACAGGTGTTGTTTGAAATAACATCATTCTGGTTAGTACATTCATTTTTATCACATAAATTCTTGCAAATAGTGATAACTGCAGTTTTTCAGATTTTAACAAAAAAAAATTTAATTTCATTCCATACTTTAACATACTTTTTTGAAATAACATACAATTCATATTAGAGATAGTAATAACAGATACTTTGCATTTTTCTCAATCTGAAAGCAAGTTTGGCCATCAAATGTTTTTGATCTTCCATCTTTATATTTTTTGTTAAATCTTCATTTTTATTGTTAATTTTAAATCCAGCTAATATATCAAATTCCTTTAATTTTCCCATTAATATTTGTATTCCTTCCGTAAGATTTTTCAGAATTAAAACCAAAACATCTTGAAGTGCTTTTACTTTGTATACTTCTTTTAAACCTTCACTTCAGTCATTCTCTCATCATGTGTTATGTCTCAAGAACATCAAGAACTACAGTGAGCCAGTGGAGAAAACATGTGTCCTTCCTTGCCTTGTTACTTTCTGTATCTCACAGGGTTTTGTCAGTTCCCCATTAATTATTTGTGCCCTTTGTAACATATGTATCAATTTCACCAATTTAATAACTTTTTCTCCAAAGCTTTTCTCTTCTAGAATTTTAAACAAAAATTTCCAGTTCAAATTGTCAAATGCTTTTTCCACATCAAGGAAAATCAACGCAGCTTGTTTTTCATTATGCTCCTCCAAGTACATTCACATTAGAATATACTTGGAGCAGCCTAATGAAAAACAAGCTGCATTGATGCCTCTGATATTGCCCCTTAATTGTCTTTTAGGTAGAAAACCACATTAATCTTCATGAATAATATCTTGCAAGTCATTTTCTATCCTTTGAGCTTTGTTGTTCAGTCACTAAGTTGTGATTGACTCTTGACGATCTCCTACACACCAGCCTCCCCCCTCCCCCTGGATTCTCCACTGAGGTCTGGATCAGTGGTGGAATTCATTTTTTTTTACTACCGGTTCTATGGGCATGGCTTATTTGGTGGGCGTGGCTTGGTGGTCATGTGACTGGGCGGGTGTGGCTTGGTGGTCATGTGACTGGGTGGGCGTGGCCAACTCAATGTCACTCACATCAAGGGGTGCCTCACCTGGCCCCTCCCCTCCCATCCATTCCTTGTCACCCAGCCTCAACTTATCTATAGTTCTGTAAAAATGTTGTTCACCTTTTTTGACTTTATTATCTGCATACTGTAGATGTACTTTCATGGACCACTGAAAGGAGAAAATAGCTCACATGCTTTACTCAAGAGTGTGATATAGGCAACAGGCTTTTAAGGGGCTGCCACAAAGAAAGGGGGGGGATGTATTTTCCAAAGCACTAGGAGGCAAACAAGAAGCAATGGATGGAAAATGAACAAAGAGAGAAGCAACCTAAAACTAAGGAGAAACTTTCTGACAGTGAGAACAATTAACCAGTGGACCTGCTTGTCCCCAGAAGTTCTAGGTGATCAATCACTGGAAATTTTTAAAAGACTGGGCAGCCATTTCTCTGAAATGGTATAGGGTTTCCCCAAAAGTCCCTTCTAAGTGTTATTCTGACACCTTTCCCAGGACCTCTACTCAGAGTTTGGCATCCTCAGTTTTCTTGCCTGAGCAGGGGCTTGGACTAGAAGACCTCCAAACTCCCTTTCAACTCTGTTAAACACACATGTATTTATGCTCTGGACTATAGACATTGAATGCATGTAAACCCTGAAAAATATTTGGTAGCCCTGAGCAAAAGAAAGGCAGTAGAATCACTCTAGGTGTAGGGACAGTGTAAAATATTAACACATGATAAATAATGGAACAATTTAAAATAATAGCAGAGTTTTTTCTCTCTCTCTCTCTCTCCCTTCCTATTTCTTTTTCTTACTTTCTCTTTCTTTGTCGCTTTCTGTCTTTCCCTTCCTTTCTTTTTCTCTCTCTCTCACCCACACCACACACTCTCTCTCTCTCCCTATTTTTTCTTTCTTTCTTTCTTTCTTTCTTTCTTTCTTTCTTTCTTTCTTT